AAACATGACGAAACAACTTAATCAGAACAGAGAATCGTTGGAAATATCTTGAGATTATTAACAAATGGCTTTGAGATTGAGAACGTATGTGTGCGATAAAGCAATCAAATGATTTGTCTAACCTTACAATAAAAAAGTTGATCAATTTTCTTGAAGCTTATGAACACCTAAAGAAGAAAAAAGAGAGGAGGAAACGACTATACAAGTGTTGCAGACTAAAGGAGAAAAAAAGAGAAGAATCTCTATTCTCAGAATAATAGAGGAAGGGGACAAGGACAATTTGGCCGAGGAGGCTGAGGTGATGAGAAAGAAGAAGTTCAACAAATTGACGAGAAAGAAGACATGGTCCAAGAGGAGGTTGGTCGACGAGTCACTCAAACATTGAGTCCTTTAAGTGTGACAAATACTATGCAAATGATTATTACTCAGACAAATATTTCAATTGTGAAAAGTAAGGTATTTTGCGAAAAAATGTCAACAGGTGGGTGAGTGAAACCTATCTTACAGAGGAGACAAAAACTGAAGAAACAATATGGTTGATAATTGATCTTAACACGGGAAATAACAGTGATGGAAATCAAGGAGATAACGACTACAAGTCGGTATGATATCTGAATATAGGTGCGAGTAATCACATGTGTGGTGACAAATACCTATTTAGAAAATTGAAGAAATTTAAGGGAGATCATGTGTCTTTTAAAGATGACTCAGAGGTCTCAGTAAAAGGTTGAAGTACTATTTGTTTTTTGCAGAAGGATGACCTAATCATGTCAATCCAAGATGTGTTTTATGTTCCAGATCTCAAGAGTAATCTATTGAGTATGAGACAAATGATAGAGAGAATACTCGATTTTCATGAAAAACCAAATACTAGAATTGAAGGATAAAATTGAAAGGTTTATTGTCCGTGTAGAGATGAGAAATAATAAAATGCACAAGTTGCAGTCGAGAAACATTCGGGGGAAAGGAGTCTGAAATCAAATATAGAGGGCACGTTGAAGAAAATCATCAATTTGGTCACATGTATTTTTGTGATTTAACCGAGTTAATTCATGATGTTGATCTAAATGTCCAAGTTGATAAAACAAGTGAGTGAAATTGAGAAGAATCAAAGGAAGACAAAGGAGGTCGAGATGCACCACCAAATGTTATCAGTTAGTAAGCAAAAAAGGAGGATGAGCCACGACCCAGAATACGGAGTTTGCAAGACCTAAATGATTCGACATATGAAGTTCATGTTGTTTGTCTTTTGGAAGATTCCGAGGACATCACATTTGAGGAAGTCGTGCGTGATGAGAAGTGGTAAGTTGTCATGGATGATGAGATCCGAGCTATAGACTGAAATGACACTTGGGCAATAACAAAGTTACCGAACCCACGCTCGGCCTATTGGTGTAAAGTGGGTATCCAAGAAGAAATTTAATGCACAAGGAGAGATAAAGAGGTATAAAGCTAAACTGGTTGCAAAGGGATACAAACAGAAAGAAGGGATTGGTTATAATGAGGTGCTCGCCCCGATAATGAGGATAGAGATTGTTCCACTGCTGATCTCTTTAGCAGTACAAAATAAATGACCGATTATACAAATGAATATCAAGTCGGCATTTTTAAATGGTGTGCTCAAAGAGGTGTATGTTGAACAACCACTCGAATTCATGAAGAAAGGCGAGGAGGAAAACGTACTATAAGACTGAAGAATGTTCTTTATGGGCTAAAGCAAGCTCTTCGAACATGGAACGATCGGATAGATACCTACTTCAAGGAGAAAAGATTTATACAGTGTTCCTATGAACATACTTTGTATATTAAGAAGAATGGAGGTAATGTGATGTTTATTGCACTATATGTCAATGATATCATTTTTATGGGAAATAATCCTAGAATGATTCAAGAATTCAAGCGCGTAATGACAATTGAATTTGAGATGACCGATCTTGACATGATAAAGTTTTTTCTTGGCCTAGAAGTAAGACAAGAGGAGTCGGTGATATTTGTGTCCCAAGAGACATATGCAAAGGAGATTTTAAACAAGTTTAAGATAACCAATTGTAATTCAGTCTCAACCCCCATGGAACCAGGGACAAAGATTTCAAAATTTGATGGAGGAGACCAAGTTGATTCGAGTAGATATCGGAGCCTAGTTGGAAGTCTTTGTTACCTCACAAGTATTAGACCCGATTTGTTGCTAAATATTGGGGTTATCAGTCGGTTCATGGAAAATCCGAACTACATTCATCGGAAGCGAATATTGAGGTATATCCGAGGTATACTGTCACTCAGACTGTTGTACTCAAAGTCGGATAATTATTAACTTATTGGGTACTCGAACAGTGACTGGTATGAAGATGTGGATGTTTAGAAAAGTACATCGGAGTATGTATTCTTCATGGGTAACACGACATTTACCCGACTTTCGAAGAAACAACCCATAATAACATTGTTAACCTGTGAAGCTGAGTACATACTAACATTGTGGAGTGTGTGTCATGCAGTGTGGCTTAGAAATTTGCTAAACTTAGTGGAAGAGAAACAACTTGGTGCAATCGTAATCCGAGTTAATAACAAGATAGTCATTAAATGAATGAAGAATGTAATCAATCATGAGAGAAGAAAACATATTGATGTGCGTTTTCACTTCATTCGAGAAAATGTGAAGAAAGGGAATGCGAAACTTGTACATGTGCAAGTTGAGATCAAGTTGCTGATATTTTCATGAAGCCACTACCTACTATGTTATTTGAGAACTACAAGAGACTGATCAAGATGAAGGATAAAAGGAACTCGGAAACCTGAATGTTTGACAAATTGACAAGTCTGTTAAGTTAGGAACTCAAAAAGTTTTTGAAGAGGACAAGTCGGGAGGTCAGGAGATCGATCAAGCTGATCTCAATTTTTATTGTAGAGAGATTTAAATTTACAGGAGATTTTTGTTGGGTAAAATTAAATTACAAAGATAATAAGAAGATAATGATTAAAAAGATAATAATAAAATAATTAGTTTAAGAGTTTATTAGGATAAAATTAAAAGATAATTATGATTTTTTGGGACATTTTGATATTGATGATATTTGGGTAGTTATTATTTGATTATGAGAATGTAAAATTATGATCTTTGTGATAGTATATAAATACACCATTGTATTTTCATTTGAGATATGACAAAGAACCAATAAAAGTCAGTTTTAAATTCTTTGTTATCATTTCCAAAGAGAATAAGGATTATACACTCCAACAAAAGATTTGAGATTAAAAAATGAAAATCTTGCATAGTTACATCCACACAACACATAAGACATCTTTTAAACTTTCAGATTTATGAAAACATGGACCATCAACAAGAAAAAGGTGAAAACAAAATCTAGGGAAAGAAAACCCCTAAGCAAATACGTATGATATTAAATCAACAAAAAACTATAAGAAACATAATCAGATACTCCTTACATTTGAGAATGAAGATGAATACACTCAAATCAAAGCACTCAAAGAATGAACCTTATAAAGGATATTTGCATTGCACACAACTTCAAATCATGTATCTCATCATATAACATCCCTTAATTATTCATCCTTTTTTTATCATCGAATAAAAAATCTCGCAACAACTTCAAATCATGCATCTCATCATATAACATCCCTTAATTAGTCATCCTTTTTTTTATCATCGAATAAAAAATCTCGCAACAATAACAACGATAAATAGAGCAATAAACCTTAATGTGGAGTACATAAAGTATTTCTTTCTACACTCCAAATTTTATCTATAAATGATAAGTAAGAGTATATTGAACTATTGAATGAAAATGAAAAGATTTCAAGTCATGAAATACAAGAGGTTAAAGGATGGAGAATGGGATCTAAGGTAAATGTTATTTTTATTTTAATCATTCAATATATATCATATTACTTATTTTAATAATTATACATTAATATTTTTTATGAAAATAATTTTTAAAAATATTTATAAAAATATTATTCCCAAATTTTCTATCATTTATTAAAATATTTATACGAATTTATATTCTTAAAAAAATAATAAAAATTTAAAATTATTTCCAGTAAATCTTTTTGAGAATATAAAAAATTATGTGTAATATTTAACAATATTTAATAAATTGGCAGGAAAATTTGTAAAAAGTTTTTATAAATAAATTTTCCAGTAAAATTCACAGCTATTTTTTATAAATATTTTTTATAAGAGAATTTACAACTATTTCTTATGAATTATATTTTGTAGAAAATTTTGTAATTGTTTTCTGCAAATATTTCTTGGCTGAAAAATTTGCATAAAAAAAAAAAAATTTAGTAGTCTCATCCCAGGCATCCTTATACATTTCCAATTTCTTCTTGCATGGTAATTTCTCCTCTGAAACGCGACTTAATGCTGCCTCAGTCAGTTGACACATAATTTTGAATTCTCTCCAAAATATTCAAGGTCGTACCCTTCTTCCCACTATCAATCACAATCATCTACATGTCGGGCTCTTGAAGCCATGCATTTTCAAACTGGAATCTTTTCTTAAATTTTGCAGTATGTTTATCTGAACACCTTAACACAAGTTGGCTATGGAAAGAAATTGGGCCAAGCACATTAAGCAATCTTACCTGTTGATAAATATCTTACCATGGATGGTTTCACATAGACTGATCCATCTTTTCTTTAATGACTCTCGTTCTTGTCGAAAAATAGGGAGCATGAACCTCAGATTGGAACCTCTAAGCTTCACAATCAAGCTCTAGACAAAAAATGTTTGAAAAAAATAATGGGGTTTCACTCTCGCAGAGAGGATACAATTGTATGATAATTTCCTGTATACAAGAGAAAAAAGCTTCTGATTAATTGATTGCTGATGATCTTATATATATAGTGGCTGATGTGGTAGGTGAGAAGAGGGTTAGGCATAAAGGGTGACATTTTTGGCCTTTTTGGAATGGTAACTGGATGAGCTTTCTTGGTCGGTTGAGCCTTAACAATATGGGTTGCTTTCTGTTTCCCAGTGGCAATGAGTTGGACGGGAGGCTTAGGGGAGGAAGAACAGCTAGCTGGGGCTAGTGGACTTTGGTGTGTCCTATCACTGATGCTATTGCTTTATTCGACCTTAGTGAAGGCCTCATCTGCATTGACTGAGCGCGTGTGTCTTATGCTTTCTTCTTGACGTTCAGCCAAGTGCATGATCCTGTCTTTTACGCAAAGAATTCAAATCGGGTAAAAATAGAAAACATGAGTAACTTTGAGAGGGTTACGTTACCTAATTTTTAAAATTTTGTGTTGAGGGGGATGTATACTGTCTTATATATTGGTTCATATTTGGTTTCAGCCAATTTTCCTATTGTTAACTCCTTCAAAAGGACTAATAATAAGTAAAAGATTCTTGTATAGAAAATATTTTTGACAAAAATTTTATAAAAGTAAGATTATTATTATTAGGTACGGACGACTAAAAAATACTTTTAAGATATATTAATATAAAAGGACTCATGACTAAGAATTAAATTAAAATTAATATTATATTCTTCCTCTTATTAACGTCTCAAAAGACCCTAAAGTTATTCTTCCTCTTATTAACCTCTCAAAAGACCCAAAAGTTTTGACTATAAAAGTTGAACTTTTGCGTTAAGGTGAGGAGGTTTGAGGTTATTGGCAACAATAAAAGTTTATATGTCTGACATTGTTTGTTGAGAAAACAAGTTACTTGACCACATATTGGCCTCGAGCTATCAGTTTCTTCCGAGTTGCAGCTGATAACTGGAAGAACTTGGCTATTACCCCTTGCTTCCGCGTCAGTTTCGTCAACAATATGCATATTAATTTATTTTGCGAGTCTACGCTCTTTATTACATGATTCACCTTGTAGTAAGCATAAAATAGCTTGAAATCGTTATATTTGAGGTAAGAGAAGTTATTTATTTTTTAATTTTTATAATACGCTAAACTAAAATATATAAACTACGAAGGTCATTTGGTCATGATTATGGAAAAAATTGATTACAAATTGAATGATAGTATTTAATATTTGGATTGTTAGAGTTTTAAAAATAAATTATTGAAAAAATTATATAATATGATACTATCATAAATCCGTCTAATGCATTTAATTTTGTTCAATGGGTTTAAATCAACATTGAAATCGCTAAAATTTCATTGAACGTTTTTAAAATTATTCAAAAGATTTGAGAGAATAATAAATGATGAATTTTATGAAAATTCGTGAAAAGGACGTTGTGGTCATCGACAACGCATAAGGAACACATTGGGACGGGGGAGAAGGGTGATTTGCAACTGAGAGAAATATAAATAATGTTTTATCATTTTAATTTTTCTAATAAAATATTTTACTAGATCCATAGATAGGTATCAAGTAATTTACCTTACTTACGTATAACATGATTATCATACCTACAAATTCTTTCCCGTGAAATGATTCCTGTTATGGCAAAATAAATCATGATTTATAGTTAAAATTCATAGGTAGATGGTAATTTACCTACAAATCTAAATCTATAAGTAAATATAAATAAATAAACTAATAATTTCTAATAATATTTATGTAAATAATTAATTTATAATATCATTTTCAATCGAATAATATCTTATTAACCAATGAAATATATGTGGTAAAATTATGAAATAAACTTTTTTGTTACCTTTATTAAACTTTGGTCGTTAAACCATAATGATATTCTAGATTTTATTTTGAGTAAAACCAATGCCATTTTTTAAATTTAGTAAAAATAATGATTAAATTTAATATCTCTTTAAATGCTTTCTTTTAGAATTAAAAATATAAACTTTGATTTTCATAATAATAAGTTAAGTATTTATATTGAAAAAATTGAAAAAAAAAAACATATAATATAAGTTGAAAATTACAAAATATTGTTATTCAAAAGAAAATTATTTGGATGTTTTGGTTTATTTAAAATATATTAGAAGGCAACTTTGTTTATCATGCATCCAACAACGTTATTCTTTTAATTTAAAAAAAGTGTTATCGAAAGGACTGATATATTCACACATCGGCAACTAGAAGGGAACTTCTTTTAAAAAAGTTAGATTCCATTTTCTTTCTTGTGTTCAACTTGTTCTGTTATTCTTCTAGTTTTTTCTTCATCGAATTTATTCTTTTTCCATCCTTCCCATTTATTATAATTTATTCCTTTTCTCTCCTCATTGTTATCTATATAAACTCTCTCTCTTCTTCCTCTAGGATTCAAATTACACAACAACAAAGAAAAGTGAAGAAAAATATATACACAAATTTTTGCAGATTTTCCAGAATGCCTTTCAAGAAGCCTCACCACATCGCAGACAGGAATATGCAAACAAAGGCAAGTCTATATTTTCTTCTGCCTATCTATCTATCTATCTATCATATATATATATATATATTGTTAGGATCATAAGAAAGAAACAATTCTAGAATTTTCTATAAATTAAAACTAGTTTATGTATGAGTTTATCCTTAATAAATAATATGTGATTATATTCTTACGAGTGAATAGCCTTGAATTGGTTATAACAGTAATTGTAAGTGCAGGAAGGTAACAAGATCGTGATGCAACCTAGAGGACTCAACATAGTGTGGGGAAACGATGCTCGGTACTGGAAAATACCTACGTAAGTATGATAATCATATGAATTATATTCTTCTTCTTCTTCTTCTTCTTCTTCTTCTGTTATAACAATGAAATGATTGCAGTGAGGGTCCTGCGGAGCTGATTCAAGTTTCATGGTTGGAGGTATCTGGTGTGCTTCGAATAGAAGACAATAAGAAGTACAAAATTTCGTTTGAGGTGAGAGTGAAAGAGGACGGGTTCGGATGGAACGGGACAGATGTACTGGTGATGGCTAAGATTGGAAAAACAGGGAAATATGAATTCAGAGTGCATAGACTATCTCCTGGTCAGCTTACCACCATTCCTACCCAACCACTCGTGATTCAAGGCGTCTCCGGGATGGACCTTCACTTTGGATTGTATGAAGTGTGGAGCGGAAAATGGAAGGGAGGCCTCGAAATTTACAAAGCGAAGGTTGAAGCTGTCCCTTGATGGAAAATGGAAGTTTATCATTATACATACAAATAAAGCCGTTACTCTGTCTGCATAATGCTTGTAATAAATCTTGCATTTTAATCCTCTTTTACTTGCTTTATCTGAATGCCTGGTGCTTTAATTGTGTATTCATTGGTGTTGTTCTTGTTAACTTCTTCCACCTTTATGTTCGTGTCCTCCTCCTGCATCTTATCTGGGTCGGTTAGTTGCTAATATTTCAGACGCTTCAATTATGCTTTATGCATTTATTCAAGTTCTATCTTCAGTACTGGATTTTAGTTCATGTTTTTAAATAAATAACTCTATAAATAATAAGTAATAAAATATTCGAATTTGATTTCTTAACCGCTCAATTTAAAGATTTAGAGTCTTCGATTTTAGAGGTTATATCTAGATTTAAGGACTCAAAATAAGTTCGAATCCCATGTTTTTCTTCTTACATATTATGTATCTTAAAATCATATTTTTAATTACTACTGACAAAAAAATCAGAGAGAATCAAGTCATCTGTATCCACGATATCAAAAATATCAAGAGTGCATCAAAATTTGGAATCAAATCAAGTCAAGAAAAGAAATATTTAAAATTAAGTTTTAAGCAAAGCTTTTCACCAAATCACTAAACTCCCAAATATTTTTAACTAGAACAAGTTATAAATCAAAAAAATTTGTTTTACCCCAAATAATATTTTCACCCACGACATTGACATAATTAATATATTAACGGAGTTAAAATTTGGATTAAGAAATTATATTTAACTAACACGATCAGTTTTATAGAGATTATTTTTAAAAAGTGAAATATTTAATAAGAACTAAAACAACATTTTATCTCAATAAATTTTCAAACAGTGTCTCTCTGTCTGTTCTGTCAGCAAAATTTTATCAAAATTTAAAAAATAAATAATGTTTACATTTTTATAAAGACTCGATTCGCACTAAATATTTTACAAAGATTACTTTAATGAATATAAAATTTTATAAGAATAAAAATATATTTTATCCAAAAAGTTATACATTAAAAAAGTTTTAAAAAAGTCTAAAAATTTTAAATATCTTATAGATAAGATAACATGGATAAATTCTTTTAAAATAAAAATTACTTTAAAAATGATATTAAAGAAAAAAAAACATTTACTTTAGAAATAACTGTTATTTATTTAAGTATTCATATAAAAAATATTATAAATGAGATTTAAAAAAAACATATACTTAACATTTCAAAATTTTAATCAATTTCACCTAATTAATATTGATATCATTATCCATTGATTATAAAATGTTTAATTAAAATATTTGATTAATCTATATCAGTGGCAGAGTTAGGGGATAATCTAATATATCACCCCAAATTTTTTATTTTCTTTGTTAAAATTATATATATCAAAATATTTAAAACGTTTTTACTTAAAAAAATTTTGAATTCTTCAAATTTTATCTCTCCCTCTTGTCAACACAATGTATAAGTAAAGATAAACAAATTATTTAGATATTAAAGATATTTGTAATAATATCTTTAAATGAATAAATATTTATTTTAAAATTTTATTAAATACTCAACCCAATTTACATATACATGACATTGATAACAACTTTTGCTATTAAGTAATAAAATTTATTACTAAAAATTTTAGTTAATTAAGATAAGTTAATAAAATTTATAATTTTATTTTCAATCTAATTAATTTAAAGATTATATAAAAAGAACAAAGAAAATGCCTCCAGGGAGTTCACAATTCAGACTCATCATTATTCATCAACTCAAAACCACACAAACATACAGTTCCTTATCTTAACTGCACACTTTTAAAAATTAGCCACTTAGTAGTATTAATGGCATTTATATACTCCCATTTAAGGTGGTAATTTTTTTAATAATTAATCTTGATTTTAACCCATTCTAAGGGTTATTCGAAACCAGTCTATGACTTTTGAATATTTGTTAGTATTTAATTGAGGAGGTATATTATTAGCAAATAAATTAATTGAATATTATATTTATAACAATATCCATAACACTTAGCATCAAAGACATTGAATATGTTGGAAAAATTTCATGTTTAACAAAAAGACTTCCCAAATTATTTATAAACAAGTAATAATCATAACTTAATATTCTTATTGAGTATATGATTTAGAAATTTGTGTTTGTTTCTTAATTGTTCGTAAGATCAACCAGGAGTTAAGAAACATACACTAACTAGTAATTAACAATTGAGTATCTAGATATTTAGCCTACTCAATATTATTATAATAAATCAATTTATGAGTTGTCCTAACAATAAATAATAGACATTGATGAAAGGTTATTTTCAAGTAGCAATTTATACGAAGGACCAATTCACCATTACCAAGAGTAGATAATGCATAAACTGAATGTTTGCTTAACCACAAATGATATATCAGGTCGAGTAATAGTTAAGTAATTAAGACTATATATTTGTCAAACCACTTTATTCGTCGCTCCCTGGACCACTTGTCATTCGCTTGCCGCATCATGGTGTCATTATGTTAGTTACGTTTGTTGTGTCACCTAGTTTCAGTCTTGTCACAATGTTTGTCGTGTTTTAATCATGTCACAAAATTTGTTGCATTTCAGTTTTGTCACATTTCAAATTTGTCACAACATTTTTCGTGCGTGCTAACGTGTCACAACGTTGTAGTCTCGCGTTTCAGTCATGTCACCGCGTTCGCTGCACTACTGTATTCATCGCGCTACCACATCACTGTGTTTCAGTTGCACCATAGTGTTTGTTGTGTTTCAGTTGCACCATAGTATTTGTCGTGTTTCAATCGCATCGTAATGTTTATCACGTCACTGTGTCATTGTGTTTCAGTTTTACAATTCAGTCATGCTTATTAGGAAAAAAAAATTAAAAATAATATATGGGTTATAGCCCACCCACCTAACCTAATGTTGGGTTTGACTCTCAACTATGTGTCTAAAAAGTCCAAATTAGTCAAACTCATTTTATCTTACTTAACCTAATTGGAGAGACGTCTTCTAGGTCAAAATAGAGATGTACATTTTGCAGTCCTAGAACAAAAAAAGAAAAGAAACAATTTCGCTTATTTACCGAGTATGTTTCCCGTTTCGTTCACGGATGGATCAAACTAAAATTTTCACACCAGGTTCGTGGCGTGAGGGATCTTCGTTTTGATCGTTGAGATAGTCAATTAGAGATATGGGGTTAGAGATATCAGTCTCCCCACTATGGCTGATTTGTTAAGTTATTTTTCTTTGTTCTTCAAATTTGAGAGCACTATTGCTTTGATATATTAGCTGCTTGTAGACACTTATTCGTGCATCTTGATGTTTGTGCATCTTAATATGACTCTCTTGTACTCATAGTTTTGATCTTAATGGAGCTTGATTGACTAACTTGGTTTTTACTCTTCATATTGAGGAGGGGTTTTCCCATATTAAAAATATTGATGTTCTATGTTGTGATTATTCTAGTAATTTTTGTTGTTGTTGCTCCTCACATATTCCTGCAAGTTTATGAAAATTATTTCCGCTACATAATTTGGTATTTTAGGTTATTGTGTTGTTTTTCCCTATCAAAGTGGCATTAGAGCTCTTGGTTTTTCTTTGGGCTATATTTAATTGCTTGAATGATGGAGACAAAAACAAAGATTGTTGCTTTAAATGATACAAATTATCATTTGTAGAAAAGCAAGATGAAATATTTATTGTTTATGAAGAAATTGCATCTTCCTACACAAAAGTCGGATAATATATATGATGAAGAATGAGACTTTGAACACCAACATGTGTGTGCTTTTTTTCGGCAATATGTAGAAGACAATATTTATAACCACATTGTTAATGAGACACATGCTAGAACTTTGTGGGAGAAGATTGAGTCCTTGTATGCTTCTAAGTCAGCTAATAAAAAATTGTATTTGTTGAATTATTTGATGAATTTGAGGTACAGGGAGAGTTCTTCCATTTCAGATCACTTAAATCAGTTTCAAGGGCTCCTAGATCAATTGTCAGGAATGAGTATAAATTTTGATGATGAAGTTTTGGGACTATGACTATTGAATTCTCTACCAGAGCCGTGAGAGATATTTCGGGTTTCAATTACAATCTCAACCCCTAATGGAATTGGTTTTTTCCAAATGGCAAAGAGTGGTGCTCTTAATGAAGAGATGAGAAGGAAAACACATGGTTCTTTATATTAGTCTAAGGTGCTTGTCACTATAGGGAGAAAAGTGAACAAAAGGAACCAAAGGGTGGTAGAGACAAGAGCAGGAGCAAGTCCAATACAAGATAAAAGAATATGAAGTGTCACTATTGTAATAAACCTGGATACATTCAAAGATATTGTTTCAAGTGGAAAAAGGATAACAAAGACAAGAAGGGCAATGAGAAAGAGAATGATCATAATGATGATCGTGTTACTACTACTATATGTGGTGACCTTGTTCTTTTTTGTGACTATGAGTCAATCAATCTTGTATCTGATAAGAACATGTAGATCATTGATAGTGGTATTACATTATACATTACACCGAGGAAGGAGTATCAAAGGTTGTTGGTGTTGGTAATGTTTGCTTGCAAACCAACATGGGAGTGCAATTATTACTCAGAGGGGTAAAACATGCTCCAGATATTCGTTTTAATTTAATATTTGTGCATTTGCTTAATGATTGTAGTTATGACAATCACTTTGGTTTTGGTAAATAAAAACTCACTAAAGGTAGCTTGGTCATGACTAAAGGGGAGAAAAATTCTAAATTATATTGTACTAAAGCTTTGGTTGCTAAAGACAGTGTGAATGTTATGTATATGAAGACATCTTTGTGGCACCGAAGACTTGGTCATATAAGTGAAAAAGGACTTACTTACTTAGTTAAAAAGGATACGTTTTTGGGATTGAAGAGTGCAAAATTGAAGAAATGTTCTCATTACATGACTGGTAAACAAACCAGAGTATCCTTTAAGAAGCATCATCCCTCAAGAAAGTCAGAGTTGCTTGAATTGATGCATTC